AGTTGGGTTTGCCGAAATTCTGGACGATGGCCAATGCGTCCAAATAGCGCTCGCGCAGCGCGCGGGCCCCCCAGAAAACGAAGGCGGCAGTCTCGCGCGCCGCCCAGCCCGCGTCGCGCCAGCCGCGATGTTGGGGTCGTTCCCAGCGTCGCGCAAGCCCAGGTACGTCTCGTCGCGTATGTTATTCTGGTTTTGAGCGAACCATGCAAGTCGGCCTGCCTCGGCCCTGCTCCAAACGTCGCAGATCCACGTTTGGATGAGGAGGCCAGCAGAGCGCGGCAGCGACGCGCGCGAAACATGCCAGGGAGTCGCGCCCTGTGTCCTGAAAGCTGGGCTCGGGGACGTAGTCGCGGAGCATGAGTCGGTAGGGAAAGAACTGCGCGGCGGTGAGGGCGCGCTGGTTTGGAATGCGCCGCCCTCCACGGCGGGGCCCGCAGCGCCAGCCTGGGTCGCCGAAGCGGAAGAGCAAAGGGTACGCCAGGGGGTCGAGGTTCTCGTTCTCTGGCCAGATGCGGACGACGCCGGCGTCGCTGGATCGGGGCCGCGCGGCGAGGTCGTGGGGGCCTCTCAGGACTCCGTCGGAGCATTGGAACGCGACCGAGGGCTCGTGGGTCTGCGGCCCGCTGTAGCGGCGCATGTCTTGGTCCTCCGACTGAGAAGTGCAGAGGTGGACGTTGGCAGGTTTGTCCTGCAGCGCGACGTCGCGCGTGTGGCGGAACTGGTTCACGCGTGGGTTCGCGCGGCCGAGCATGCGCTGAAGCGTGGACACCGCGGTTGCGTCGATTCCCGCATGGGTGGGGCTGTCAGCGCGAGCTCGCACCGCCTCATTGTGGTCGTGCAAATAGACGTGTGTGAATGCGGGGTCATCGCTGTCTTTGGGAAAGAGGTGCTCAGATATGTGGCGCGCCGCCCCGTGGCAGACGACGACTGGCGGCCCTCGCCCGGGCTGCTTCCCGGAGAAGCAGGAGGCTCCATCGGGCGCGAAGGCGAAGGCATTGTTGCACATCCAGGAGGCGTTTCTCGCCGTCTGGCCAGCCTTCGCACAGGCTTCCAAGGTGTCCAGCATCTCTGGGGGGGGCGGTGGCAGAACGCGGATCTGTTCGAAGGTGATCTTGCCGCTGGCGCAGCAGATTCTGAAGTGGTCCTCTTTGCTCAGGCTGCTTCGGGAACGCTGGGGCTCCGCGCGCTCCTCCTCGAAGATGCACGCTCCGCGCTGGTCGCGCGCTTGCAAGGGTGCTGCCTGCGTGGGCGGTGCAGAGGGGGTCGGCGTAGTCGGCGATGGATGACGCCGCGGGGCGGTCCGCGCGGATGACGCGGACGTCGGCGTGGCAGCGCGCGCTCCCTTCAAAGTGTGGCTGCGGATGCGCGCCCGGCAGGCCGGGCGCAGTTGGTTGGGGGCAGGCTGTTGCGCGCGTGGGTCTGGCGGGCGTTTGGGCCTCAATCGCCGCCATTTGCTGTCGCGACCCAGGTTTGGAGGGGCCTGCGGCGAGGCAGGCGGCGCGCCCGCGAGTGGGTCTGCACTCAAGGCCTCGGCTGTGGAACAAAAGTGAATCGGAGATGCAGGGCGCAGCGGTAAGTGCCATTGGAATGCGGTCTGAGGAGAGCGCCAGAGCCACGTGGGCGCGGCGGCGGGCCAGGGATGATGAAGGAGCACCGACGTCGGTGGGAGTTATGCCATGACCAACCCGGCAGTGACCCCAAGGTGGAGCGGCGTTGGGGTGGTAGGTGGTCGACATGATAGGTGGCACGCTGCCGTTGGACCAACGTCGACAACTGGAGCTTTGCCGCGCTGAACGTGGATCCACCCACGTCCCAGGGAACGTGCCGCCGTGACTCTGCAGTCAATCCTGGAGCTCCTGGAAATGACTTTCCCGCGACGTGAGGTCGGTGCGTTGCGCCCGCCCAGGCTGTCGGACTAAGTCGAAACCGCGTGCGTTGTGAGGGTGGTCCGCAGTGTCGAAGCGATTGAAAAGGCGGCGGTAGTGGCGTGCAAATCGCGCCACAAGTCGGTCGCGCTTGGGTGCGCGAGCGGGGTCGGAAGGGCACCGCCCGTCATGCGTGCGCAGCCCCTCCTGCAAAGCTTCGCAAATGGCATCCCACGCGGCGGCTTGCGGGCCCCGGGCCCAGGGCGGCCGCGCCGAAAGCTGGGCGAATCGAGCAGCCTATGCTTGTTACTTTCTGTGTAGCAATCGCTGAACGCGTATCATCTTGCGCAGCGATCTCTCGGAATGCGCTTGCTCGCCCTCGTCGGCGCTCGTCAGACAGCGGGGGAACCGCCGGAACTGGGCGTCCCCAACTGCGTCGGTGTCGGAGTGCCATGTCCAGAGAGGCCGCGCGGTGAGCGCCCGTTCACGCGCGGCGGGAGGGCGCCCTCGTCTGCAGTCTCGCGTTGGTACAGGGCTCATCTGCGTAGACGGAGCTCCGCTGGATGAAGGCCCCCCTCGAAACGGCAGTGGGGAGGCGGCCATTGTGGGCAATCCATCGCCGGTGCTCCTAGAAATTCCTTTCCCCGCGTAGGACCATTAGGTGGCGAGGTAGCGCGCATGCGGGCCGCCTGCGCCTAGCGGCAGCGGGCCGCTTGCGGGCCCCGCGCGGCATTGCGGGGCATGTAGCTGCCGCGGAGCACCTGTTTGAGCGGGGGTTGCGCGTCGGATCGCTGCCGAAACTGAGCTTGGATGGGGCGCGCGGCTACGTTTCGGGAGGCTCGGGGCCCCGCTGAGGTTCCTCGAAAGCAACGGGGGCTCGGCGTCGGGAGGGATGTTTCAGCATAGAGAGGAAGTTGTTTTTGTTCTTGGGCGGGTCCTCCCGTGCCCGGGCGGCGTTGACGCCGTGGCGGTTGCCTGAAAGCTCGCGCGCCTTCGACGGCGACGACGGCTCTGCTGGAGCGTCGGTGGGGGGGCCGCGGGGTTCGACGCTTGCCCGTTACGAGATCCTCCAAAACTGTAGTTTTGTCTGGAGGTCCCGTGGTGGGAGTCCTGGAGGCTCGAGGGGCTGTCTGCTGGGGCTCGGGGGGGTCTTTGGAGGCTGGGGGCTCGAGAGGCTGGAGCCCCCTCTGGGGGGCCAAGGAGGCTCCAGGCTCGAGAGGCCCGGGGAGGTCGGCAGGGCAGTAGCCGCGCAGCAAGTCGAGGAAGCCGAAGGCTTGGATCTCAGGAGAAAGCGCCCCCCGAAAACTCTGGAAAAACGTGGGGACGCCGAGTTCTCCTGGGGAAGGGGGCCGCCCTGGGCCCGAGGGATGGGCCTGCAGCCGAGCCTTCTGGCCAGGTAGCCGCAACAAGTGGACTAACTCGGAGGAGGCCAGCCAGGGCCAGCTGGAGTAGCAGAAGGCGAAGGGCTCTGTCCAGATAGCTGCAGCAAGTGGGCGAATTCGAAAGCCAGCGACACTGGAGAAAGCGCCCCCGAGAAAGTCGGGAAAATTGGGGGGCGCCCAAATACCGTGTCGTCGCGCTTCGTGAACCCCGCCAGCCCTGCCACAAAACAATTGGGCGCCTTGAAGGCAGGTGGGCAGCCATGAAGGCGTCAGGGTGTTATGTCGGCGGGGCCGAAGGGCATCGGGGTGGCGTTCTGGGGTCTCGTTGGGTCGGTCCCTGCGAGTGGGCCTGCTGCGAGTGGGCGCGGGCCCCCCTGTCACTCCTAACCGGCGGAAAGGGGGGCCGGCAGGTTGCAGGACAGGCGAGGAGGAGGAGAAAAAGCAGGAGGAAGGCGAGCGGCGGAAGGAGGGGAGAAAGTTCCGTCTGTCCTGCTGCGGTTCAGCGAATGCCCCCTCTGTCTTCCCTAATCGCCCGAGGGTGGCGGGCAGATCCAGAGAAGGCGAGCAGAGGGAGGCGATGGGAAGAAGAAAGCGCGGAGCAGGCGGAGAGAGGTGGAGGTGCGCCTGGATCCCGAACTGCGCGAGGTCAGGGGGGGGAGGGCGTGCAGGATGAGGAGGCGTCGTGAAGGCGACAATGTCAGCGGCGCCCGAACATAATGACGATCCCGCAGCCAGACTAAGCCCAGTAAGCGTCCCCCACAAATTCCGGATTTTTCTGGGGGCGCTTTCTGGGGCCTCGTCTCCTCCTCCTCCTCCTCCTCCTCCTCCTCCTCCTCCTCCTCCTCAGCGGCAGGCGGCAGCCTGGCAGCGCGCTTTCGGCAGAACGCCGTCTGGCGTGCACGTCGCGACGTCCTCGCGAGTTCACGTCGCGACGTCCTCGCGGAGGAGCGTGCCCTACGGCGTCTCCGTGTAGAGCGCTCTCCGTGTAGAGCGCTCTCCAGCGTATCCCGTGGACCACTTGGGTCTCTCTTCGGAGGCTTTTGAGGGGTCCTTCTGGAGCTTTTTTGGGCCGCCTGAAGATTCTCTTGGGCCATCCTGGGGCCCTCTTGGGCCGCCTGACAGGGCTCGGCCCGTCTAGGGGCCTCCATTATTGGGCTCTCTTGGGTGCCTCCTGTGGCCCTCTCGAGGCTCTCTTGGGGGGGCTCTTGGGGCGCCCTCGGGCCCCTCTTGGGCCCGTCTTGGGGGCTCTCTTGGGCCGTCTCGGGGCTCTCTTGGCCCGTCTTGGAGTTCTCTTTGGGGCATCCTGGGCCGTGTTGGGGCGGTCTTGGGCGGCCGCTTCGGCCCTCTGGAACCCCTGCGCGATCGGGGCACCGCGGAAGGCCCCGCCGGCCGCCCCGGGGCCTGCCCGGGGTCCCAGAGGCCTGCCCCGAGCGGCCCGAGGGGGGGGCCAGTCCGCCGCCACCGATTCCCTCCTCCTACTCCCTCCTCCTCCTCCCTCCTCCCTCCTCCTCCCTCCTCCTCCTCCCTCTTCCCTCCCCTCCTCCTCCCTCCTCCTCCCTCCTCCCTCCTCCCCTCCCCTCCCTCCTCCTCCTCCTCCTCCTCCTCCTCCTCCTCCTCCTCTCCTCCTCCTCCTCCTCCTCCTCCTCCTCTCCTCCTCCTCCTCCTCTCCTCCTCCTCCTCCTCCTCCTCCCTCCTCCTCCTCCTCCTCCTCCTCCTCCTCCTCCCGCCAGCGGTGGTCCGGGCGTTGCAGGAGAGATGGCGTTGGGCTCCAGCTGCGCCTCCCAGATCTCGCTCAGCAGCACAAGCGCCCGCTGCCACTGCTCGCCCTTCCCGCACGCGCTGATCCCCGCGCTGAAACTGATGACGTTGGGCTCCAGCTTCGCCTCCCACATTTTGCTCAGCAACGCCAGGGCCCGCTGCCACTGCTCACCCTTCGCGCACGCGCTGATCCCGGCATTGAAGCTGACTAGTGTGTACCCGTGCTTGCTGCTTCTGGCGGAGATGGCCCTGAGTGGGCCCAAATGGCGTCGAACACCTGCCCAATCATGATAGGGCAGGGCCGAGACCCGCCAAAATACCCCTACGAAGACCCACAGATGGCCCGAAATGATCGCCGATAGGAGCCCGAGATGGCCCAAAGTGGACCGGATTAGCGTCGAACACCTGCCCTAGCATGATAGGGCAGGGCCGAGACCTGCCAAGAGACCTCTGGGGCCTGCTTCAAAAACCTCCCGAAGCTGTGATCCCCCCGAGGCGAGGCGATTCTGGGCCACCAGAAGAGCGAAACACGGCTTGGCCTCAAGAGGCCGCGGAGAGGTCTCCAGACCGACCAACAGGGCGATGGATTTTGAGCCAAATCCGGCAGGGGGCGCCGAACAAACAACGGAACCCCATGGTGCGCTGGGAGCTGTTTTGGAACCGTCTGTTGCCGACTTGGGCCGTCTTAGGCTGCTGTTGGTGCCGTCTTCGGTGCTTCTCAGGCCGTGCTGTTGGGGCCTCTGGGGGTCGTTCAGGAGCCTATCAGCGCTTCTTTTCGGCCTCCTGGAAGCCTCCTGGGGCCCTTTGGGGCTGTCTCGGGTGCCCCTTGGGCCGTGTGTAAGCGGTCCTGGGCCGTCTGGGGATTGCCTGGGGCCGTCTTGGGCGTCTCTGGAGCAGTCTGGGCACCGTCTGGGGGTCGTGTTGGGCCGTCCTGGGCCGCTCTTGAAGCTGTCTTGGGTACCCCGTGGGCCGCCAGGGCCGCTTCAGGAACCGTCGCGGGGCCATCTTTGGGCTCCTGTATGGCCGCCTTGGACTCAACGGGGAGGGCAAGCCAGGGAATTGCCACAAATGCACGTTTTCCAAAGGGAATGAAACGATTTGTCGGTGCTCAGGCAATCTTGGGGCTCGTTGTGCGGCCCACTTGGGGCGTTTCGGAAGCCTTTTGGGCCGTCTGGCGGCCGTGTGAGGCGTTGTCGGGGCCGTCTGGGGGTTGCCTGGGGCCGCCTTGGGCGTCTCTGGAGCAGTCTGGGCACCGTCTGGGGGTCGTGTTGGGCCGTCCCAGGCCGCTCTTGAGGCTGTCTTGGGTACCCCGTGGGCCGCCTCAGGAATCGTCCTGGGGCCATCTTTGGGCCCTTGTGTGGCCGTCTTGGACACTGTGAACAGGGCAAGCCCAGGAACTGCCAAAATGTACGTTTCCCCAGGGAATGAAGCGATTGTTCTATGTTCGGGCTCTCTTTGGGCTCGTCGTGGAGCCCACTTGGGGCGTTATGGAAGCCTCTTGGACCGTCTTCGGCCGTCTGGGGGCCCTCTTGGGGGCCTCCTCGTGCGTCTCGGAACGCTCTTGGGCCATCGTGGAAGCGCGCCGAGGCCTGCTAGGGCTTGCAGGGGCCGCCGGAGAGGGCTGGTCCGCTGCCACCGATCGGCAGCTCCGCGAGCGCCAGTCTGGCCATGGTAGGAGACATGACGGTGGGCTCCAGCTTCGCCTCCCGCATCTCGCTCAGAAGCGCCAACGCCCGCTGCCACTGCTCGCCCTTCTTGCACGCGCTGATCCCGGCGCTGTAGCTGACTAGGGCAGACCTGTGGACTCCGTCCACGACATCAGCTCGACGTGGCCAGTTGAAGGCGCTCTCCACACCCTCCAGGACCTCCTGCTCTCCTGTGTTCCTCAGCTGCTGCTGCTGCTCGGAGGTCCTGCTGTTTCCTCCCCCTCCTCCTCCTCCTCCACCTCCTCCTCCTCCTCCTCCTCCTCCTCCTCCTCTTCCACCTTCTTCTCCTCTTTCGCTGGATTCTCCATGCCCTCGGTCGGCAATCGTCGATCCTACGACGACTCTCCCCAACAGAGAAACATCGAAGGCCCTCGGAGCGTCCAACATTGTTCTTTTGTGCCTTCGATATGCCGGTCGCCTCTCGTCCGCTCCCCCCCTCCTGGAAGCAATTCTGAGGCCACGTAGGGCTTCGTGGGGGCCGTTTGGGGATCTCTTGGGGCGTTTTTGCCTGCGATATGCCTGTCGCCTCTCGTCCGCTCCCCCGCTCCTGGAGGGAATTCTGAAGCCACTGAAGGCTTCGTGGGGGCCGTTTCGGAGCCTCTTCGGCCTTCTTTTGGGCCTCCCGGGGGGGTCTTAGGGCCCTCTCGGGCCGTCTTGGGTGCCTCTTGGGCCGTCTTGGGGCCGTCTGAGGCCCGCCTCGGCGCCTCTTGGGCTGTCTTGGGCCGTCTTGGGCCGCTCCTGGGGCCGTCTTGGGTGCCTCTTGGGCCGTCTTGGGCGCCTCCTGGGCCGTCCTGGGGCCGTCCTGGGGCGTCTTGGGACCGTCTTGGGGCCCTCCTGGCCCGTCTTGGGGCTCTCTTGGGGTCCTCTTCGGCCGTCTTGGAGCGGTCGGGGGGACTTCTTGGGCCGTCTTGGAGCGTCGGGAAGCCGAAGAGGCGAGGAGGCCGAAAACATCGAAAAACACATTAGAAATCGACGATTTCTGTCGCTCGGGGCCCTCTTGGGAGGCCTCTTGGGAGGCCTCTTCGGGCGTCTTGGACGCCTCTTGGGCCGTCTGGGGCGACTCTCGGGCGTCTTGGGCCCGTCTTTAAGCGTGCCGGGGCTCTCCGGGGCCGTCTTGGGGGCTTCTGGGGGCCCTCTCGACATGTCCTGGAGCCTGCCTGGGCGGCCGGGGGCGGCCCGGGGCCAGCCCGGGGCGGTTTCGGCGCATTGGGGCCTGCGCCCTTCTGGCACGCACTGGGCCCTGCAATGTAGTAGAGACTAGGGCGAATCCGTGGACTTCGTCCACCGCTCGCCCTCGGGAGCTGTGCCTGGGAGAGCTCTCTACGCTGCCGCTCGCTCTTGGGAGCCTTGGTGAGAAAAGCTTTGTACTTCACCGATCGCTCCTCTAATGGGCGTCTCTGGGCCTGCTTGGTGGTCCTTGTGGGGGTCTTGTTCGGGCCATTCTGAAGCTTTTTTGGGCTGCTCTGGGAACGTTTTGGGACGCCTTGGGGCCATTTTGGGACGTCACGAAGCGTCCGGGAGGCCTTGGACCGTCTTGGAGCTTTCTTGAGGCTGCCTGAGGCCGTCTTGGGAGCCTCTTGGGGCCCCCTCGGATCTTTCTTGGGGTCGTCTTGGGGTTCTGTGAGGCCGTTTCAGGGCTCTCTGGCGTCGTCTTGGGGCTCTTGTGGGCCGTCTTGGAGCCCTCTCAGGGGCCGCTGGCGTCTTCTTGGGGCGATTTGGGAGGCCTCTTGGCGTGTCGGGCCGCTGAGGAGCACACAAGACGGGCATGCTGAACACATACGTTTTCCTCTGGGACTTTGACGATTTGTGCCTCTTTGGCGTGCGCTCAAGGCCCTCTTGGGGCGTCTTTGCGGCCTCTTGGATCGTCGTGGAGCCTCCCCCAGAAGGCTTGGGGCCCTCGTGGGCCGTCTCGGGACCCACTGAGGCCGTCTTGGAGCGCTCTTGGACGGTCTAGGAACCCCTCTGGAGCGCCTCTGGGACCGGCCTGAGCGATTCGGCCCCGTGGTGGCGCCGTAAAGGGGCGATGTTGTGCACTTGAGGCCCTGGGCTTCTCGCACGCGCTTCCACCGGCCATGTAGGAGAGACTAGTGCGTATCCGCGGATGAAATCCACGGTGTGAACAACATCTCACGCGCTTCCGTTTCCACTTGAGGCGACGACTCCGTAGCAAAACAGCTTGTCCGACCCGAGCCGCTCCTCGAAGCCGTGGGTATTCAAGAGCTCTCAGAGCGATTGAGGTCGGGGCATGACAGCAGAGGGAGGCAAGATGCGAGCAAGGCCTGAGGGCCCAGGTTCCAGGGCTGGAGGAGGGCCCTACGATCCGAGACTGCGGATCCTGAAACAGAGAGAGAGCGTACGGCGGCTTGGGAGCCAAAGGTGCCTCTTGAAGGTGTCCCGGGCAGTTGGGAGTGGACTAGGGCCTGGTGTGGAGTCTGGGGCTTGCGGGGCTGGAAAAGGTCCTCCTTGTCACCCCTGCTGGGGTGCCTGAGGTGATGGTCTGAGGTCTCCATGCTCCAGGGCTGAAGGGGGATCCTTGATCCGAAGGTTCTTGAGGTGGTCTGGGGCAGTGCGGGGTCTGATGCTTGTTTTGGGGCCTCTGGGTCCGGGAAAGGTCCCCCATGTCACCCCTGCCTGGGTGCCTGGGGTGGAGGTCTGAGGGCTCTCCGCTCTGGGCTTGGGTGCCCCAGAGACTCGCTTGGCGGCCCGCGGAGTGCTTCCAAGGCAGGCGCGACGAAGCCGTAGCAGAACAGCTCGTTGAACCTGAGCAGCTTCGCGAAGCTGTAGGTCCTCACGAGCTCTGAGGGCTCAGAGGTCCGGCACACGCATGTGAGGCTCTCGAGAAGGTCAGGGGGAGCTCAGAGTGGTCCAGGGTCCGGGCTGGGGTCTGGGGCATGGTGCGCCTGGGGTACGGCAGGCGGCGCTCGAGAGTGTCTGCGGCAGCTCAGAGTGGTCCAGGCTCGGGGTGGTGTGTGCGGCAGGTAAGAGGTGATCGGAGTGATCTTGACGCTAGGGTGGGGTCTGGAGAGTGGTGCGGCTGTGGAGCGACACGAGGCGGTGGAGAAGACCTGGAAAAGGTCGGAGTGTCGAGGGCTCGGGGTGGGCGTGGGGCCTGGTCTGGGGCTTGCGAGCGCATGGGAAAGGCCCCCCCCTTGTCACCGGTACCGCGAGGTCCGGGTAACAACGGTCTCTAAGACCGTGAGAGCATGCCGCGGCCGCGGCTGGGGTCGACAGAAAGCTCCCGAGAGGGTCTGGGGAAGCTCAGTGGTCCAGGGCCTGGGGTGGGGTTGAGCAACTTCCTGCGTCATGGGAAGGTCCTTCTGGAGCTGAGGGGGTGCGTCCTGGAGGCTCTCTGGGAGGTCGTCGGGGGGCGAGAGGGCTCGGTGTGGGGTATGGGGCTCGGTTGGGGGCTTGCGAGAAGTCGTCTCGGGGCGATGCGGGTGTCGTGGAGCCGTCGGCGAGCGCCCAGGGGCCTTCTGGGGCCGTCGGGGAGCGTGCTGAAGGCTCTCTGGGATTTCCGTTTTGGGCCGAGCTGGGGGCGAGGGAGCCGTCGGCCCGCGGCCCAGGGGCCTTCTGGAGGGGTCGGGCGCTCGGTGTGGGGTATGGGGCTCGGTTTGGGTCTTGCGGGGAGTCGTCTGTGGCGATGTTGGTATCGTGGAGCCGTCGGCGAGCTGACCAGGGGCCTTCTGGGGCCGTCGGGGAGCGTGCTGGAGGCTCTCTGGGAGGCCGTCTTGGGCCGAGCTGGGGGCGAGGGAGCCGTCGGCGAGCGGCCCAGGGGCCTTCTGGAGGGGTCGGGGGCTCAGTTTTGGGTATGGGGCTCGGTTTGGGGCTTGCGGGGAGTCGTCTGTGGCGATGTTGGTGTCGTGGAGCCGTCGGCGAGCGGTCCAGGGGCCTTCTGGGGCCGTCGGGGAGCGTGCTGAAGGCTCTCTGGGAGGCCGTCTTGGGCCGAGCTGGGGGCGAGGGAGCCGTCGGCCCGCGGCCCAGGGGCCTTCTGGAGGGGTCTGGCGCTCGGTGTTGGGAACATGGGGCCTGGTTTGGGGCCAGCGGGACGCCGTCTTGGGGCGATCTGGGGTCGTGGGGTCGTTGGCGAGCGGCCCAAGGGCCTTCTGGGGCCGTCGGGGGGCGTGCGGAAGGCTCTCTGGGAGGCCGCATTGGGCCACGCTGGGGGCCCGGGAGCCGCGCTGGGGGCGAGGGAGCTGCCGGCGAGCTGCCCAAGGGCCTTACGGAGCTGCCTCCGAATTCTCGCCGCCGCGCACCGTCGTTCGCGCCCTGAACTGCTCGGCGAGCGCGTGGGTCGCGAAGGGCGGCGCCGAGGGCCGCAGCGGCGCGCGCCAGCCAGCTCGGGCCGGCCTGGGCCAGCTGGGGAAGCTCGGCGCCGCCGTCTTAGCCCTGGCTGCCCGAGGCTGACTACCTACCAGACTACCCCAACCCAACCCGAAGACCCGAATCTGACCCCAATTTCGGGTTGGGGGGGGTACGGGCTCCGTGTGTTTTCTCAACGCTCCCCAACCCCCCCACACTGGAAGTGGAGGGCAAATTGTGGGCTTCGGGTTGGGTTGGGGTGGTTTGGTGGGTGGTGAGAGGCTGGCCGCAGCCATCGCCTCGGCAGCCGCGCGTGCGCCCAGGGCGGCGGCCGGTGCCCGCGCCCGCCACCGCCCCGGGGCATGTTTGGCGCTCCAGGCCGCGCTTTCCGGCACGCCCCGCGGGCTCTGGGGGCACCCCGGGGCGGGCTTTCGACTCCGAGCCCTTCTCGGACGCGCTCTGGGCAGAACTGTAATACTTTTTTTTGTTTGATCTGCGGGGCGAGAGCGAACCTCTTCCGCTGGAAGCTACGCGGGACGCGCACAGCTTAAATTAGCAGAGAAATGGCGGAAGAAGGCGGGGCCTCACGCGGCCGGGAGAGCAGAACTGGAATACAGATGACGTCGTGCTCCACCTTCGCCTCCCGCATGTCGCTCAGCAGCGCCAGCGCCCACTGCCACTGCCCGCCCCTCTCGCACGCGCTGATCCCAGCGCTGTAGCTGACGACGAAGGCGGATCCGTGGACTTCGCCCACGACCTTCCGGTCCCTCTGGTGCGCC